TGTAAGACATCACAGTACAGTTTAAATATATATGGCAAATAGAAATCCTATATGCATGGTGTTAAAAGATAGATGGGAGGTGTTGAATGAAATTGAAGGATGGGACTAATAACAACTAACAACAAACAATAACAAGATAACTAATAATGTAGGCACGCTGTGTCCATAATAAGTGTATGGGTTGTAGGTTGGGAGCTTTTGTGAAGGAGCACAGTTAGAAAGATATGGCATATAGAAGCAAACCGGATGGACATCATGAAAATGATCGGAGAGGTTGAGAGTAGAAGAAGTTCTGGAGAAAGAACAAACAAAATGTAATTATTGTAAAATTGACTGTGTCCATAAAATGTAGATAGTGGGTATGGGCTGGAAGTAGAGGCCTAAGCATTGTTGCTCACTTGTTTACTCCAAGTGGGGAAAGGGTGGCGGGGTTGGAAAGTAATAAAGGGGAATATATATATATTTTAAAGGATATGTATGTGTATGTATGTATGTATGTATGTATGTATGTATGTATGTATGTATGTATGTGGGTGTGTATGTGTATGTGTGTATATGTATATATATATATATATATATATATATATATATATATATATATATATATATATATATATATATATATATATAAACATGGGGGATTGGAAGTGATGCAGACAATTACATTGATGGAAGTTACAATCTATCTGCAATATTAAGCTGATCTACCCCCAAATAGAAAAATTAAAAATAAAAAATAAATAATAATAATTATAGACTGATCATTTCTTTGTCAGTGGGCAAACGTACAAAATCAGCAGGGGATCAAATACTTTTTTCCCTCACTGTATATATTGTATGAATGTGTTGAATGCTATGTGTATGTGTGCTGAAATACAAGTGTGTGTCTGTCTGTCTGTCTGTCTGTCTGTCTGTCTGTCTGACTGTTTGTCTGTTTCTGTGTGTGTATGTCTGTCTGTCTGTGTGTCTGTGTGTCTGTCTGTCTGTCTTTCCGTCTGTATGTGTGTCTGTCTGTCTGTGTGTCTGTCTGTGTGTCTGCCTGTGTGTCTGTCTGTCTGTGTGTCTGTCTGTCTGTGTGTGTGTGTGTGTGTGTGTGCGTGTTTGTCTGTCTGTCTGTCTGTCTGTCTGTCTGTCTGTCTGTCTGTCTGTCTGTCTGTCTGTCTGTCTGTCTGTGTGTGTGCGTGTTTGTCTGTCTGTCTGTCTCTGTGTGTGTGTGCGCGTGCTTGTATGTCTGTCTGTGTGTGTGCATGAATTGTCTGTCTGTCCGTCTGTGTGCGTGTCTCTGTCTGTATGTCTGTCTGTCTGTCTCTGTGTGTGTGTGTGTGTGTGTGTGTGTGTGTGTGTGTGTATGGGTGTGTATGAGTGTGTATGAGTGTGTATGTGTCTTGGAGGGAGCATTTGTGTGGGGCCCTTGTTTGGATTACCCAAGCAGGGGTTGGATTGGGACGTGAAGTGTGTTTATGAATCCAACGTGAACTTCCTCTGGCTTTATAATTAGGCTGGTATTAGTCACAAGCAAAACAAAACAATGGAAAGTATTTCAACTCCTCGCTCTGTGGTTTGTATGATAGGTTTATACATACCTAGCATCAACACTGACTCTGGCCGGAGTGAGGTTTAAGGAAAGGGCTGGGTGTGTTGGTGTCTTAAATGTTTAGGTGAGTTACAAGTTCTCACACACACACTCGCTGAGCTGAATGAATCTTTTACAAAAGAGAGTTTATCTGTCTGTGCTCAGATGTGTAGTCTGTCATAGAGTAGTGTGTGTGTGTCTGTTTGTGTTTTTCTGACCTTTAATGTGTCCCATGCTGCCGAGCTGACTTTGCTGGTTTTCTAGGGACATATGAAGAATCACTTAGTCTGTCTGCAGTCTCCCTCAGTCTCTACTGGGAGATGGAGGGAGGAGAGGGGGAGTTATAGGTCTGCCCGACACACACCTCCCCTCGTACCCTCTGATGACTTCCATACACGCTCTGTGTGTGTGTGTGTGTGTGTGTGTTATAGCAGTTTGTCTGAGTGATAAAGTGCAGAGTGAATCCTCAGAGTGCAGTGTGTTAGTCTGTGTCTATGGGGCCATCCATGACTTAGTGCCCGCTCTGTCACTCTGGCTCCTCCTCTTTTCCTCACACTCCTCCATCTCTCTGGTCAATCTAGTTACTTCTCTTTTACCCCCCTCCTCTCCAGTTTTTTCCTCTGTTTCACTCGCTTTATTTCTCTCTCTCTCTCTCTCTCTCTCTCTCTCTCTCTCTCTCTCTCTCTCTCTCTCTCTCTCTCCTCACTCTCTCTCTCTGTCGCTCTGTCTTTCACCCCCTGCTCTTTCATTCCCACTCTCTCTGCCTCTCTTCATACCTCCTTCCCTCTCCTCATTTTTCCCTTGTTTAATTTTTTTGCGCTGGCCAGGGGAAAGGAAAATGTGTGAGTCAGTGAAAGGCCGCTCCCTCCCTGGGAGGAGAGAGTAGAGGGAGGACTGGGACTTTATTTAGTGTGGTGACGTCACCCTCTTTGTCCCTGGTAACCGCTTGTTAAGTCTCCGGTAGTGGACACCTGGGCAAACTAACTTGGCCTGTTGAGCGTCACTCCACAGCGGTGTGTGCGTGTGTGTCCATCCTTAGGGGGATGTGACTGTTTGACTGTTCAGGTCTGAACCCTTTTGATGAGGGGAGGTTGGTTATGGTGTATGTACAGGGAAAGGGCAGAACTAGGAAGGGAAGGGCAGTGGTTGGACACATGTTTCTAAAGGTGAAGAGAAACTGCTTGTTCGTAGTCATAGGTGAGTCTGTGTGTTTTGGGGTAGAGCATACAAAAGAGTAACTATGTGGAGACTGACTCACATGTTGTCATGTTATACATAGAACAAAAATAATAACGCAACATGTAAAGTGTTGGTCTCATATTCCATGAGCTGAAATAAAAGATCCCAGAAACGTTCCATACGCACAAAAAACGTATTTCTCTCAAATGTTGTGCACAAATTTGTTTACATCCCTGATAGTGAGCATTTCTCCATTCCCAAGATAATCCATCCACCTGACAGGTGTGGCATATCAAGAAGCTTATTAAACAGCATGATCATTACACAGGTGCACCTTGTGCTGGGGACAATAAAAGGCCACTCTAAAATATGCAGTTTTGTCACATAAACAATGCCACAGATGTATCAAGTTTTGAGGGAGTGTGCAATTGGTATGCTGACTGCAGGAATGTCCACCAGAGCTGTTGCCAGAGCATGAAATGTTAATTTCTCTAAGGTAATTTTAGAGAATTTGACAGTACGTCCAACCGGCCTCACAACCACAGACCATGTGTAACCACGCCAACCCAGGATCTCAACATCCAGCTTCTTCACCTGCGGGATCGTCTGAGACCAGACACCCGGACAGCTGATGAAACTGTGGGTTTGCACAACCGTAGAATTTCTTCACAAACTGTCAGAAACCATCTCAGGGAAGTTCATCTGCGTGCTCGTTATCCTCACCAGGGTCTTGACCTGACTGCAGTTCGGCATCGTAACCGACTTCAGTGGGCAAATGCTCACCTTCGATGGCCACTGGCACGCTGGAGAAGTGCGCTCTTCACAGATGAATCCCAGTTTCAACTGTACCGGGCAGATGGCAGACAGTGTATGGTGTCGTGTGGGTGAGCGGTTTGCTGATGTCAACATTGTGAACAGAGTGGCTGTGGGTTATGGTATGGGCAGGCATAAGCTACGGACAACGAACACAATTGCACTTTATCGATGGCAATTTGAATGCATAGAGATACAGTACCGTGACGGGAACCCGAGGCCCATTGTCGTGCCATTCATCCGCCACCATCACCTCAGCATGATAATGCACGGCTCCATGTCGCAAGGATCTGTACACAATTCCTGGGCCTGCATACTCACCAGAGCCTGCATACTCACCATGGCCTGCATACTCACCAGACAAGTCACCCATTGAGCATGTTTGGGATGCTCTCGATCAACGTGTACGACAGCGTGTTCCAGTTTCCGCCAATATCCAGCAACTTCACACAGCTATTGAAGAGGAGTGGTACAACATTCCACACCACAATCAGCCTGATCAACTCTATGCAAAGGAGATGTGTCGCGCTGCATGAGGCAAATGGTGGTCACACCAGATACGGACTGGTTTTCTGATCCACACCCCCAATAAATGCATATCTGTATTCCCAGTCATGTGAAATCCATAGATTAGGGCCTAATTAATTTTTTCAATTGACTGATTTCCTTAAATTAATTGTAACTCAGTAAAATCTTTGAAATTGTTGCATAATGCGTTTATATTTTAGTTCAGTGTAACATTGCTGTTTTCTGGCAACAAATAGTATGTCCTATAGTTAACTCTGGTATATGGCCACACACACACAGATTACCATTAAAAATCCAATTTTTCCTAAACCCTAACCCTTAACCGAACCCTATCCTTAACCCTAAACCCTAATTGTAACCCTAACCCTAAACCTAACCCCTACGCCTAAAATAGCCTTTTTCCTTGTGGGGACCGGCGAAATGTCCCCACTTGTACAAATGTTCTTTGTTTTACTATTCTTGTGAGGACTTCTGGTCCCCACAATGATAGTAAAAGCAAAAAAACACACACACACACACACTGGGTGGGATGGCTCCCTTTAGTAACAGTGGGTTGTGAAGCTCAGTGGAGTGTGACCACAGGGTGTGTGTTACTCTGCCCAGGTCTGGGTCTTAGCCCTGGGCTCACATCCTCTTTTGGCTGGCTTTCTGAGCTTTGGTCTCTCTCTCTTCTCTCTCGTCTCTCTCTCTCTATCTCTACTCTCTCTCTCTCTATCTCTCCTTCTCTCTGGCTTGTGCGCCGCAGGCTGCTGGTGTTGTGGGCGCATGTGTGGGAAGGCTGTGTGCTGTAAGGTCGGCCCGCCCCCCCCCCCCCCCCCCCCACTCTCTTCTATGATACTTACAGTTACACTGCTCAATAACACCAAACCAGGCACTTTGCTGAGCTTCTTTCACCCCTCCATCTTCAATGGTGATGATTGGAGAGGTATCTCTCTCGCGAGAGGAGAGAGAAGAGCGAGAGCGATAGCGAGAGAGAGAGAGAGAGAGACGAGACGAGAGCTGAGAGGAGTCGAGCAGAGATGAGAGAGCGAGAGAAGATACAGCGATCGAGCTCTAGCTTCTCTCTTCTCTATCTCTCTCTCTCTCTCTCTCTCTCTCTCTCTCTCTCTCTCTCTCTCTCTCTCTCTCTCTCTCTCTTCTCTCTCTCTCTCTCGGTTCATGCTGTACTGTCTCTAACCTGTGTATTGTTGACTCTGTCCCCTGCAGGAGAAAGAGAAGAAATATATGCTCCAGGTGGACAACCTGAGGCTGAGGGATGTGGAGAAGAGCTTCATGTCCAGCAAGCAGATCTTTGCCCTGTTCAACACTGAGCAAAGGTCAGTTCTTAGGTGGACATTTCTATCATAGGTTTTTCAAATATTTTCAGACCTCAAAAAGTAAAGTAATGTAGTGTTGCTCAGTGTTGTAAAATGTCCCACTCACATTTCCACAAGAATGTGTAGGTACTGCCAAAATAATGGAAACACTTGAGTAAATGAGGGATACAAAGTATATTGAAAGCAGGTGCTTCCACATAGGTGTGGTTCCTGAGTTAATTAATCAATTAACATCCCATAATTCTTAGAGACATGTATAAAAATGCTGGGCAGGCCATTATTTTGGCTACCATGGCTAGGCCCCCATAGGATGACAATGCCCCCATCCACAGGGCATGAGTGGTCACTGAATGGTTTGATGAGCATGAAAACAGTGTAAACCATATGCCATGGCCGTCTCAGTCACCAGATCTCAACCCAATTGAATACTTATGGGAGATTCTGAAGCGGTGCCTGAGACAGCGTTTTCCACCACCATCAACAAAACACCAAATTATAGAATGTATTGTGGAAGAATGGTATTGCATTCCTCCAATATAGTTCCAGGCACTTGTAGAATCTATGCCGAGGTGCATTGAAGCTATTCTGGCTTGTGGTGGCCCAACAACCTATTAAGACACTTTTAGTCGTTCATTTTTTGTCATTCTCTTATTTTTTATCTTATGTTTGTTGTGTTTATTTTCAGGGTTTTTTATTTGTTTTTTTCATGTGAAGCACATTGTGTTGCACACACACACACACACACACACACACACACACACACACACACACACACACACTCAGACTTTCCCCTCTGTATCCACAGGAATGTGTATAAGGACTACCGTCAGCTGGAGTTGGCCTGCGAGACTCAGGACGACATAGATGGGTGGAAGGCCTCCTTCCTTAGAGCCGGAGTGTATCCTGAACGTGTTACGGTACCACACACACACACACACACACACACACACACACACACACACACACACACACACACACACACACACACACACACAGAGAGACACAGTGGCATAAACCTGTACATTTCGTCAGTAACTCCGCCGGTCCAAAACATTTAGCTGATTGTGATGATGATTTGCTCTCACAGTACTAGTGGAGTCAGTCATTTAATGTTGAACACCATCTGTCTCTCTTTCCCTCTCTCTCTTTCTCTCCCTCATTATTTTCCTCAATATGTCCTTCATTGCTGTTGGACCCTATAGGAAAAGGAAGGCAAGGTATGTGCTTTGTGTCCTGATGTCTATTCCAACTCTTCACCCCTTTTACACAGCTTTCTATACACCTATGCTCAAGCTAGTGTTGGCAATTGAATTTGATACTGAACTCTGATTGGCTCTAAAGATTTATACAGGCACAGTCTCGTTTTTCGTCTCGCCTCATTGGTGCTGTTTCTAATCAACGGCCCAGTCATTCATCATTCGCACCAGACCAGGAAGTTCAAATGTCGCTCTCATCAGGGTTCTGCCATAGCTGTATTATACAACCATCTGATTGCAATAAGCTAAGCAAATGAAGGAATTATCATTGGGGCGTGAGCCAAGAGAAAGTGGTTCAGAAGGAGACATGTTGTCTCCAATGGCTGTCGTCTGAAAGCAGTCACACGGTTAGCTAGCATCAGTAGTGTGTGTTGGCTCAGTTTGAGGTTATTTCTCTATAGCGACAGTTTAGGAGGGCTATATAGTGGATGTAGTTAATGATGTGTGATGTTGAGGATTGTTTCAATATGTTTTGTGATTAGAGAGATCACTTGTCTCCATCTTTCTCTCACCATATTTCTCTCTTTCTCTTTCTCCCTCTCCCCATCCCTCTCCTTTTGCCTCTCCCTCTTTCCCTCTTCTTATCCGTCTCTTTCCCTCTATCCATTTCCCTATCCCTGTCGCTCTACCTCTCCACTCCACCTCTCTTCTCTTCCCTCTAACCCCCTCCCTGGCCTTGTCCTCCAGCAGAGTGACAGTGGAGACGGAGAGAACGGCTCAGATAACTTCATGCACTCCATGGACCCCCAGCTGGAGAGGCAGGTGGAGACCATCCGCAACCTGGTGGACTCATACATGGCCATCGTCAACAAGACCGTCAGGGACCTTATGCCGAAGACCATCATGTACCTCATGATCAACAACGTGAGTCCCCATTGGTCGCTTTTGACTAGTGGTGTCAAAGTAATCTTCTGTAGGGCCAGCTGATTCACACCAGCTGATTTTCATCCTTGTCTTTGAATCTGTGTCTGATTGGTTTAGACTTGAGAAACCAGCCGGCCTGTGGAATCTCTAGCCAATCAGTGACAAGGGCAGAAGAAACACCTCTTTCATCTCTACTGCAACCTTTCCATCTCCAACTCCCCCCCATTCCTCACCTTTACTCTCCCCCTCTCTTCCCCCTCCTCCACACAGACCAAGGAGTTCATCAACGCGGAGCTGCTGGCCAACCTGTACCACTCTGGGGACCAGAACAGCCTGATGGAGGAGTCCCAGGAGCAGGCCCATCACCGCGACGAGATGCTCCGCATGTACCACGCCCTGAGGGAGGCCCTAAACATCATCGGAGACATCAGCACCACCACCGTCACCACCGCCATGCCACCGCCTGTAGACGACTCCTGGCTGAGGCCGGGGGGAAACAACTCCGGTGGCAGGTACGAATGGAGGGAGAGAGGGAGGAAAGGAGAGGAAGGGAATAATATGCCATTTAGCAGACGCTTTTATCCAAAGCGACTTACAGTCATGCGTGCATACATTTTTACGTATGGGTGGTCCCGGGGATCGAACCCACTACCCTGGCGTTACAAGCGCCATGCTCTACCAATTGAGCTACAGAGGGCAAATTATATGGGTGAAGGTATGGATGGATGGAGGAAGGAGGGGATGGAAGGAGGACAACAGCTCTGAGTAAAAGGTATGGATAGAAGGAGAAGGGGAAATAAGGGAATAGAGGAGAGTGGGGAGTAAAGGATGAGAGGAGCAGGACTGATGTTGTTGCCTCCCCTGCTGGTGTGAAAGAGAACTGACTGCCGATGCACTCAGCCGCTCTCTCTCTCTTCCCCCCCCCCCACCCCTCAGGTCCCCAGCCAGCAGTCCCACTCCGAACAGAAGGGCTCCCCCAGGTCCCCCTGGACGCCCTGTCTCCCGTGGCTCAGCCCCTGGCCTCCCTCCTGGCCCCCCTGTCCCCTCTCGCCCAGGGGCCTCCCCGGATCCCTTCAGTGGGCCCCCCCCATCAGTCCCCTCCCGGCCTAACCGCGCACCCCCCGGTGTGCCGAGGTGAGTGAAACCGAACCCAAACGTTACATCTCAATGCAAAAGTCACCAAGCCTATGAATGTGTAACACTACAAGAGGTCCTACAGGGAGACAGACAAGCTAATGAGGTTGTGTAAGTGATATACTATGAGAGTGAGGATGATAATGAAATCACATCTAAGCTGAAGTGTCAATGCTCTCTGTTGCTAAGGGGGATGTGAAGACGCCAGGAGGATTGATGGAGGTAAATGAGAGTGGAGAGAGCTTGGTGTGATAGAGGATAGAGCCATATAGATAAAGGATGTCAGGTCCAGAAGATGCTGCAAGCTAGAGAACAGATGGGAGGTAGAGGTAGGATGGATGAGAGACATATCATAGATTGACCCTTCCAAAAGCCCACCCCTGTAGTAAAACATTGCCACACACATACACACACCTAATATATGTTTTACTTATGATGTTGTACCTATTTACATTGCTAACTGCCATGAAGGTTTCAGACATTACTGACTAACATTTCGTACACACTAAGAGAACCTCCCAACCCTACTTGTAACTAACTGCTTTAAGTACTTTTACTATCAGTGGCACAGCTGTGCCTTCATTTAAGCCCACATTTTCTTATCATTCCATGCCCCTAGCCCTCACCAGAATCCCCCTCACTAGTAGTCTAGTCTAGTGGCCTCCTCTATGTGGAGTCCTTTGCTAGAATATAGTTTTGTATTAGAGACCTATCCTACAGTATATCCCACTCACCCAACCTTAGTCTTTATAGTTTAGGAATAGTGTCTCTTGTCTATCCTGTCTCCATGTTGCAAATAAACAGAGCGAGAAAGAGAGGGGAGGATAGGGATTGAGAGAGAATGAGAGCGAGCGAGAGGGGGGGGGGGGGGGGCGTTTTTCATTTTCGTTCTCTGTTAAACTGCCTCCGCACTGCTAACGTTTGCCTTGTGTTTGCCTGTGGTTGTGAGCTAATGGACACTGTACTGATCTGATGTGAACTCACGGTCAGGGCAGCAGCTTGCCTTACTGAGGGAGACACACACGTTGTCTGACACTGCTCTTGCTCACACACACCCTCAAACATCCAAATAACCTTCAAACAACCCTCAAATAATGTCTCTAAAGCAGCCATGTTAAAACCAATTACCCCAAATAACTTTCAAATAACGGTCCAAATCTGATTGGTCCATGGTGAGAGCAGAGCCTTGTCATGTGACGTGGGTCTCTCCTGCACTGTAACCTGTATGTGTTTGTTTGCACTCCTCTTTCTGTCCTCCTCATCCTATCACCTTCACCACACCTCTATCCCACCGTTGACTATGGTTCCTCTTTCAGAATCACTATCAGTGACCAATGAGGACTAACGCTTCTGGTACGTTTGGTACTACTCACCATCATCCTCATGCTGCTTTCTCTTAGATACCGTCACCTCACTGCATGCCCATCACGCTCTCCTTTTCTTTCACTCCCTAATGCCTCTTTTAGCAGTGCATGGACAAACACACACGAGCACACACACAGGTCACAGTGTGCGTTTGTCTCATTGTGTGACCTTGCTGGTTTTGTTATTGTCTACTGAAATCAAGTTATTTTTTCTAGTTTCAGGGTGTATGTTTCAGTTGGGAGAGGTTTGTGTTGATGAAAAAAGTCAGAGGATACCTCTAGATACGCACATGCATACACACACACTCATACATACACACACAGGCATACATACATACACACTCATACATACACACACATGCATAGACCTGACCAGAGCTGCTCATTAGGGGTCAGAAGTCAAAGGTCATGGGTTTGTGTCAGTGTCGGATCATGACATCTCACCCGTCCCGTGTCTCTGATTGTTTGGTGGTGTGACACATTGCTGTCCAGTATTTGTCCTGTCTAAATGTCAACATAGTATTCTATAGAGGCTAGTGAAGCTGTCAGAGAAAGGCTATACTGTGGGTGGTAATAATGATTTGAAAAGGGTGTATAATGTCTAGTTAATGTCTATCCAACTAGCAATTCTGGCGGTCATCATTTACCCTGCCTCCTACAGTTGTAGTCTACTTTTTAGCATTTATGCTAACTAGCCCCTCTTTTGATAGTGAAGTAAAGATAGCATAGCCTTGATGATCATGGCAGAACTACTATGGAGATTATAAATGTGTTATATATCCTTTGTGGCAATTAGAATCACACAGCTCTTGAGGGGTGAAATGCAACCCTCTATCTCTCACATATTTTGCATGCTTGGATTGGGTTGAAAGAGGAGAATATTATGGATGATAATATAGTGGAGCTATACTGCCCTCTTCTGGGCACCAAAACAACTGCCTGTCACCAATGGAAACTATGTACACTGAACAAAAATATAAACGCAATATGCAACAATTTCAAAGATTTTACTGAGTTACAGTTCATATAAGGAAATCAGTCCTAATCTATGGATTTCACATGACTGGGAATACAGATATGCATCTTTTGGTCACAGATACCTTAAAAAATGGTAAGGGTGTGGATTAGAAAACCAGTCAGTATCTGATGTGACCAGCATTTGCCTCATGCAGCGTGACACATCTTCGCATAGAGTTGATCAGGTTGTTGATTGTGGCCTGTGGAATGTTGTCCCACTCCTCTTCAATGGCTGTGCGAAGTTTCTCAATATTGGCAGGAACTGGAACACGCTGTCGTACAAGTCGATCCAGAGCATCCCAAACATGCTTAATTGGGGACATGTCTCGTGAGTATGCAGGCCATGGAAGAACTGGGACATTTTCAGCTTCCAGGAATTGTGTACAGATCCTTGCGACATGGGGCCATGCATTATCATGCTGAAACATGAAGTGATGGCGGCTGATGAATGGCACGACAATGGACCTCAGGATCTTGTAACAGCACCTCTGTGCATTCAAATTGCCATTGATAAAATGCAGTTGTGTTCGCTTATGTCTGCCCATACCATAACCCCACTGCCACCATGGGGCACTCTGTTCACAACGTTGACATCAGCAAACCGCTCGCCCACACAATGCCATCTGCCCGGTACAGTTAAAACTGAGATTCATCCGTGAAGAGCACACTTCTCCAGCATGCCAGTGGCCATTGAAGGTGAGCATTTGCCCACTGAAGTCGATTACGACGCCGAACTGCAGTCAGGTCAAGACCCTGGTGAGGACGACGAGCATGCAGATGAACTTCCCTGAGACGGTTTCTGACAGTTTGTGCAGAAATTCTTCGGTTGTGCAAACCCACAGTTTCATCAGCTGTCCGGGTGTCTGGTCTCAGACCATCCCACAGGTCAAGAAGCCGGATGTGGAGGTTCTCGGCTGGCGTGGTTACACGTAGTCTGCGTTTGTGAGGCCTGTCAAATTCTCCAAAATGACGTTGGAGGCGGCTTATGGTAGAGAAATTAACATTCATTTCTCTGGCAACAGCTCTGGTGGACATTCCTGCAGTGAACATGCCAATTGCACACTCCCTCAAAACATGAGACATCTGTGGCATCGGGTTGTGCGATAAAACTGCACATTTTAGAGTGGCCTTTTATTGTCCCCAGCACAAGGTGCACCTGTGTAATGATCATGCTGTTTAATCAGTTTCTTGATATGCCACACCTGTCAGGTGGATGGATTATCTCGGCGAAGGAGAAATGCTCACTAACAGGGATGTAAACAAAGTTGTGCACAACATTTGAGAGAAATAAGCTTTTTGTGCATATGGAACATTTCAGGGATCTTTTATTTCAGCTCATGAAACATGGGACGAACACTTTAGATGTTGCGTTTATATTTTTGTTGAGTCTATATACTGTATACAGTATATTCCAAGATGCATGAAGACAATCAAATCTGCAGGAATGATTTGTGTTTTAGTGTGTTAGCTGTCTTGTCTGACTGTCTTCTCCCACGTTGTTCCATGCAGCTGTGAATGTGTGTGTGTGTGTGTGTGTTACCCGGCATACGCGTGCTTGAGAGAGAGTTTGCATAGAATTTGATGTTCAGTAGGGGAGCTGAATTGAATGTGCAATTACAAAAGAGTGCAAGTATACTTGACTGTATGGTGTATGTGTGTGTGTGTATAGTAGTATGTCAGAGTGACGTTGAGTTATACCGCTTGCGCGTGAGGGGGAATGACACCCAGCCAGAGTGCCAATCCTAACTCATCCCTGTCTTTGCTTATATCTGTGTCCCTCTGTCCCTGTGTTTCTGTCTGTCCATCTGTGTGTATCCATGGTCCTCTTGGCAGCCGAAGACCCCCGCCCTCACCAACCCACTAGACTACTGAGCCCCCCTCCCCTCCAACCCACCGCCTACCCCACGGCAGAGAGACCAAGGACTGCAGAGCAACCTTCCTGACCTAGACCTTTCTTCCTTCTCTACTAAATGACCCAGTCACGTCACACACACACGCACAAACCCACACACAGACATATTGTATACCCACAATACAGAGACATGCATTCATCCTCCACTGTATATTAAGGACCATTGTAGATAAGAATTAGAAAACATTTACACACACTCAGACACACACATTTACATGCGTAAGTGGGTGGATTCAGCAAATATGGATGAGAGGGTTAAGGAATGCTATGCTGAAATATTTTTTCTTTCTTCCCCTCCCCTTCAGATGGGTATTTCTGATTGCTGACTTTCTCTCTTT